TCATTCCTTTCTTCTCTCAGGGACCCAAAGGGCCGAGAGGAATCAAAGGAGCTCCAGGAGACAGGGGCCCTATGGGAGGGAGGGTGAGTCAGAAAGGGCGGAGACAGATGTGTGCTATCAATCATAACTCCGGTCATGTGTATGTGCAGATGGAGCTGTAAGTGTCTCTCTTTCTTCTTTTCAGGGAGAGGATGGCGCTCTAGGAAATGGCACAGAAGGTTGTCATGGTTTCCAGGTAGGTAGTTAGGGCATCTCAAGTGTGGAGCAGCTTTCTCGCTGTAACTATGTATATTTTTGATGCTTATGTGGTTTTATTTTTTAGGGTTATCCTGGGCCCCGTGGAGACCCGGGTGAGCCGGTAGGTTCTTTTTTTTTTTTTTTTTTACATAGACAATCAGGGCACTTTTTTTTTTTTATCTGAGATCAGATTTTGGTATGCATGTTTGTTAGAGGCAGCGATTAACTGAGCTAAAATTGATGTGCTTTGTTAGCCCTTTTATCATCATTATCATTATCTGTCTTTGCCAGTGCTCCCCTGTAACTGTTTATATCTGCCGTGCATTTATCAGGGTGGCAGGGGGACGCCTGGACCCAAAGGAGATGATGGCGAGCCCGGAAATCCAGGCCCCGATGTAAGTCCAACTCTGACTTCTTTTCCCTTTTTGAGTTGCTACTCGCTCTTGATCTCATTTTATCTTTCCTCCATTCCTTTCTTGGCGCAGAGAGCTGACAGGATATGAGTCACACGGCTACTATTTTAAACATATTTTCATATCTCCTTATTTTTTTGCCGTCTTTTAACACGTCTCATACTACAAAGTGACTTTTTGTCTTTTCTGCTTTTCATTATTTTTTTCTTTTGTAGTCTAGAAGTATTTTGCTGCTCTTGTTTTTCTGTCTTTCTCCCACACTTTCCTCCTGTTCAGCAGCTGGAAATGCTTTAAGTGCTTTTGAACACATTGGGGATGAGGGCTTTGAGCTGATGCAGCTGTGTATATGTCGTTGTCAAGGCTACTAGGAAGTGAGCAGAGACGATGAGGGGACTGCATTACTTTTTTTCTGGATTGTGTGTGTGTGTGTGTGTGTGTGTGTGTGTGAGAGAGAGAGAGAGAGAGAGAGATTATTCCTGTCCTCTGTAACCCTTGGTTCAACTTGGCCGTGTTTACATTTAAATAATTTCACTTCCAGGGTTCGAGTTTCACAGCTTAAAAGTTTCTATCCATACGTCGGTGCACCCTGACCTTTTCCTGCAGAACAGTCACACTCTGTGAGCTGTGGATTTACAGTGCCAGATCAGTTTACCACTCATCAAAGCTTTCTGTTACTGCAGCCAGGGCAGGATAAGATGCCGTACAATTCACCCAGTCACCCAATATTTTACTAAAATTTGCTTGGTACTGTAGTAATGTGTCAGTAATGTACATGATACATTCACTCTGACAGCAGAGTAATGGGCATATTCTGTTAAATGAATACATGAGGCAACCCAAATTATCTGGTTAGCTTAGCATAAAGCATGAAGACTAGCTTAACTCAACCCAATGATACTTGTTTGAGGTATGCAAAAAGTTCAACAAGAGCTCAAATTTTATAGTTTTTAGGGACTAACCTGGTACATAGATCAGCATTCTGCACAAAAGATAGATATATATGAGCTTTTAGAAGTGCTAGTGGGTGCATGCTGTCATTGAACACACAGGAATTAGTTTAGCAGAATTGGTGCTAA